ATGATAGTACGCGAGCATCAATCACATCCATGAATGCTTGATAGGCCTTCTTGGCAATGGAATTGTATTTTAGTAGGATTGAGTATTTAGAATTGAACACATCAAAAACCTAAAAAGAATTTTTTTATTATAGGATTATTAATTAAAGTAAATACAGATTATTGATAAATTTACAAACAAACTATTAAGAAGCAAAAACTACTAGATATATTCAATTAACTTGATAATACGATTTAAGAAAGTATACTTAGGATAAAAATAAATGAGGATTAAGAAACTTACCACACATTGAGCTGATGATTAAAATTTAATTTAAAAAAGTTGAACGATTGAAATCCTAGAGATAATTATTCAGAGGCTCTTTGAAAATAGAAATATGAAATGATCATTTCAATAATAATATTAAGCAATTATTTTTATTGATTAATTAAGATTTTTGTTTGGTTTATTGAAATTAGATGCTTACTAAATTAATTTAAAAATACTTGATAAACTGAATAGTTTGATTATGGACCTGTTTTTTTCTAAGAAATATTATAAATAATATAAAAAATCCATAATAGTTCATTTATTTATTAATTCATATGTCGAATATCCTTTCCTTTTGTCATCCCAATATACCAAATGTTACCCGTTATTTGTGATAGTTCCATAAATTGAATTTGTTTCACAATCCAATAAATTTTAAATTTTGTACTTGCCATCATAAATTTCTCTGATGATATAAATATATGTCTTATGCCTTACTAAGATAATATTTCTATCTCTATTATAAATAATTGGAAAACAATATTTATCCAAAATTCGATTATTTGCATTTAATTGAATTGTCTTCCCCTAATTTTCTTAAAAGACTCTTTTTTCTAATTCAAATACATAAAGTTTATCTATTTGATTACCCCCGGTTATCCAAATAAATTAATTATCTTTAATAAACTTAACTTTATGTCCTTATTCTTTAATTGATTATTTAACAAAATATTTGTATACAAATTGATTATTCTCTCTCCTTTCCCAAATAATTATTTAATTCTCACCATTTGCACATGATACTAATTCATTTTCCGATTAATTTAAACTTAATGACATTACTTCATTATTATGTTTATCTAATGTTTACAGAAATGTTAATTCGTTGTGATTAAAATCAACCTTCCAAACTTTGATTGATTTGTCTTTACTTCCAGAAAATAGTAAATCCTCATTTTAATTTAATATAACGCACACAACAGTATTTGTATGTTATTCATAAGACTATGAACTAATCCAATCATTTTAGTTCAATTTTTGCCAGCATCTAATTGCTTTATCTCCAGAAATAATTGAATCTTATTTTTTACTATAAACTAAACAATGGACCCAATCAGTATGTCCTTACAATGTTTTTCCTAATTTGATTATTCCATTTAAAACACTCCATACTTTAATATCTTTATTTTCAGTTGATACCATAATTGACCCAGAAGCATTAAAAACTAGTGCATAACAATAATCATTTTATTTAACAGATTAATCAACTGATTTTAATTTGATTTCACAATTTTGTAGCAAATTAGAATGAGGGATGTTGATAAATTGTTACTTTATTGCTTCAAAGCTAACCTTATTTTGGTCATGATTGACTTTTTTGAAGTTATTGGATATTTTAGTCATCCAAGATCTATTAATATTATCTATTTGTTTATTATTAGAATCAGCCTATACACTCCATAATGGTAATTTAATATCTCAGTATATACAATATAGTCTAGGTTGATTGAGCTGCACTTATAGATCTCTTAGAATTTGATGCTGATTTTGTATCTCATAAAAATACTGAAACCATATAAGTCTATTTTTTAAGAATAAATAAATCAGCAAACTCTTTTTCCATTTAGAGACTTGGATTAACCGCAAAACTGTCACCTCTACCTGATTACTCAATATCTTAGTCACAAGTAGAGGATCTGTAATATATAGTCTAAAGAATTAACAGTGAACAACACTCCTGTGATATATTCACTTCATCATCTTTAATTGGTAATTGCATTTTGCTTCTTATTTTTTAAAGTTAATATCATAAATCTCTTTTTTATGATACATCTTATTCTGAAATTTCAATTTAGATTTCAACACCAAATCACATGCTCAACCTAAGAATTTTTCACTGACAAAAATTAATTACCCTTTTGTAATTAAGGAGACCTTTACTCTCTTATCATTAAATTTAGCATGAATTCTCAAAAACAATTTATCATTTTTAGTATTAACTATACCCAAAGCTCCTTTTTGGACTTTATAAAATGATACCCAAAGGAAAAAGATTGAGGAATTAATTAACCAAATTTTTTGACCAAATTTTGAATGAATAAGGATAGTGATCTGACAAATTGACAATTTGTAGGGATGATTGGATGTCAAAAATTAACTCTAAAGACTGATTTTCACCTAGAAAGAATCCTACAGTAAATAAATAGTAGTGGGCAATAAGAGATATTGAATTCATCAATAATAATTTCGATCGCCTAGCATTGTGAAAATAGAAAAGATTCTTAGAGCTTCACATATTAAAGTGAATTCATTAACTTCAGCATTAAAAATTATCGATTAATTAATTATTTGAAGGACTTATTAAATTTCTATCATCATAGACTGGATATATAAAATCTTTTCCAAAATATATGAGAAGGATAATCTCTAATATTTTTGGATTTATAATTTTATACTACATTCAATTAATAATAGTAGGTAGTAATTTAAGCAACTCCTTTAATTACTTTCAGGATCACTTTTTCAATTATGCTGAAAAACGAGAATTTGCTGATGAAATAGTGATAATTGATTTGTTCAACTTAAGTTAGAAAATGTAAAGGAAACTTAGGAGGGACTCTTTTTGGTTAATTGTTTGATGTACCTCTTTTGAGAGACTTAAACAACAAATCAGAGGTACTTCTCAAACTAAAAATAGGTATGTTTTTTAATTTTAGGACATATAAAGTAAAATTTAGTTACAATCTGTATTTTTAGTTCCATATTTTAGAAATGGAAGGGGAAATTTTAATTTTTTTCATTTGATATATATTTACATCACATGTAGTGGCATCAAATAGAGTATTCTTTAGCACATTCCTCACAATTTATATCATTAAATAAATTACTGCAACAGCTGCGTATCTATAATATTCAAATGTATGTAAGTAGAAACTAATTACCACTTAAATAAGAGTTACATGAATTCCATAAATTTTAGTCTTTTTCATTCATTCACCCAAATCGTAATTTTAAATTGGCAGATATTAATCTAATTATTTCTAACCCTTGATTCAATTATTATAATAAAGTTAGGTGATTTATATCTTTAATTCAGTGAATTAGAAAAAATAATGCTTTAATAACAGATTATGATATAATTCTGGGTGTTTTTCTGTTTCTTTAAGTTTTACGATCAATTCTTTCTTCCAACAAATGATAAAAAATGAGCTGAATTCTAATTCTATTCTTTAGGCTTTTAGGTTTTACAAAATGTAAGACTGGATTCTCTTCAGATTTTCTACAAAATCTTTAGAGGATGAGGATCAGCACTTTACTTCTTTATATGGAGAAAAGTGGAATGTTTGAATTAGATAACTATGATTATTTATAAATAATATTATGGCAAAAAGATGACAGAGGTACAGAGATAGAGTTTCGAGTTTGTTGTAACTAAAAGATGACATCCACCGATATTGTTAGTTTAGAGAGGCCTTATTCTTTTGTGAACCCTTAATGAAAAACCTTTATAAAAAAATAATAATTAGAGAGAAAAGGGTGTGAATTTTTTTTTTG